TAAGAGAACTATTACTAACTTTCTTAAATCTAAATCTTCTGATTTTACCATCTTGATATAAATATGCAGTTTGTGCAAATAGTGAAGTTGATATCTTAATAGGAACTTGCCCCAAATATTTTTGATGTTTTTCGTTTCAATAATATGCAGGAACAACAAATAGTAATATTCAGGCACTGAAAAGTAGATTTTTTTTTGTTTCTAACGGGTATCTCCAACCCTACACTCTATTTTACTCTCCAAATATAAAGTTCTCTATTTTTCCAGACAACCAACTCCAACCCAATTCTCTATTTTACTCTTTAAAAAAGAATCTTCTTCTCTCTCCTCAATATTATATTATTATTTCTATTTCATTTTTGTTTTCATATTCCATAATATAAATCTTTTCTTTCTTTTTTTCCGAATAATCATCCTATATAATTTCATGTAATATAAAATTTTAATTTTTTGAAATTTTTTATTTAATATTAAACTATATTTTATTCTAAATTTCTAAAGAACAACTATGAATAATTGAAAAAAGAAATCAACAAGCACAACCACAACTTCTCTAAATCATACACTAATTCCTTTTCGAATATCGTTAAATCTAGAAACGACCTACCGGATTACTAAATTATTGTTGTGATTTTTAAAATTATTATGTTATCCATTGTATTGTATTGTTATCTTGTATTTAAATTATTATGTTATGTATTATATTTTTAAATTAAAAAATTTATCTCATCATTTAAATTTTGTGCATTCTTCATGGTGGAAATTAATAATAACATCAAATTGTATCACAAAGTGACGAAAATTTAAAAAAATATTAATTCGAGATGAAAGTAGTATATATAAAATATAATATATATTTTTTAATCTTATATTACATTTAAAAAGAATTGTAAATATTAGAGATTTAATTAATAGCTTTATATTAAAAAATAATATGTTAATTACAAAATAGTAGAAATAATAATATAATATTCAAAAAATGAAATAGAGAGTTCTCTATAATTGGAGAGTAGAGGATAAAATAAAAAGTGGTTGGAGAGGACATTCTCTATTTTACTCTCCAAATATAAAGAATGAAGAGTAAAATAGAGTAGGGTTGGAGATGGTCTTAGTTGATCGTCCCTTTAACTAAATCATTCATAACTTGAATACGTTGGTTCGTTGAAAATTGTGGCTTATATAGTTGAAATACGTTCCAACAATACTTTGTTTATAACAAGTTTACTATGTTGGGCCCGGGCTAATCCCTTCTAGTAAATGTAGATGTCACAATTGCCACTTGTGAAAATTAAATATGAGACTCTATGTGCAACAACTTCCCTGGAGTATATTTAGTTCCAAGGATAACTTGCTTAACACAAAAGAAAGCTAACTCTTCTCTTGTTTTCTTCTTTAATTTTATATATGGAAAATTACCAATATGAGAAGAAGCCCAGAGTTCTCTGCCTCCATAGCCATGGAAGTAGTGCTGAAATATTGAAGAAAGAATTGGTACTTGGTTGGCCACAATTTTTACTTGAGAAGCTAGATTTGGTGTTCTTGGATGGACCTTTTTTACTTCAAGATAAAGTGGATGCTCATGACATTTTTCATCCACCCTACTATGAATGGTTCCAAGCTAATAAGGTCCTTCTCCTTTATTGATAATTTCCATTTTCTTTTGTAAATTAAGCAGGTTTTATCTTGAAATATTCTAAAAAAAATTGCCTTACAAACAAAAGCTAGAACTTGAGTCTGATGAGCAACAAGAACATAAGTTCTAATTTATTTATTTTCTATAAGACATAATTTATAATCAATTGAGTAGGTTCATAATTTATAATCGATTGAGTAGGTTCATTGTCTTGAAATATGTTAAACTTATGTCAATATAAGCAAAATTGGCGAATCCAATGAATAGACTGAGGGTTCACTTGAATTTATAAATTTTGGCTTAGGCAATGTATATGTGTCAAGAATATCTACTAAATATGAACAAATACTTAAGTATTTTACCAAGAAAATTTATACATGTTTATGAATAGATCCATATTTTATGATAAATGAATAATATATGTTTTCATTGAGTATCTTAACATTATATTGTAGGACTTCAAGGAGATTTACAATTTTGAAGAATGTCTTCAATATGTTGAAGCTAACATGGAGAAGTATGGACCATTTGATGGTGTTTTAGGTTTCAGTCAGGTAAGTCTTATTATATATTATTATTTCCTTATTGGATTAATTCTTCCCGGGAGAAGTATTGGAAAAACTCCTGAACTTTTTGCAAATTATTAGTTTCATCACCGAACTATTGACAGATAAAAAGTCGAGAAAAGTGTTGAAAACATCCCTACAGTTGACGAGAAATTAGGGTGTATTTCACTCATGTTGCAAGATGTGCTTTTAAGTTCAGTTAGTCAAGTAAAGAAATATTTATAAGGTTATCAATACAGGATGAAACTAATTTAGGAGTGTTTTCAATACTTCTCTCATTTTTATATAATTATATAAGTTAATCAGAAATTTCATCATTATATATATTTCTTTATGTGATTTTAATATTTGTTTAGGGAGCAATTTTAACTGCATCAATGCCTGGAATGCAAAGGGAAAGAGTGGCTTTGACCAAAGTCCCAAAAATAAAATTTGTGATCATAATAGCAGGGGCCAAATTTGGAGGACTCGAATTTGGATGTCCCAAGCTTGCTTCTAATGCATTTGCATCTCCAATTGAGTGTCCATCTTTGCACTTCATAGGTATTTTTCGTGGATAATTAAAAATACTTTTTTACTTGAGAGTAATTACAAATCTATATTTCATGACATTTCTATTACTCTCTCGGACTACATAGAAATAGAATTGCTATTATTTCATCTTCTTAGTTCTTTGGCTTCTTTTTCGCCGTTGATTATTTCTTCACTGTCATCGGTGAAGTCAATACGTCGAAGATGAGAAATGTTACAACTCTTGTTTCTTCTTCATCATGAAAGTGGGTGAAGAAAAGTAATTACCTTCATGAAAGGAAAGATTATTTTGTTTGTAAGAAGCAAATAAATTAAATTATTTAATTATAACATAAATATAATAAAAATACTTCTTACATTTTTTTTGCTTCTCATTCTCTCAAAGAGATTGAAATGTACTCTTTATGGCAACTTAATACTTAAGGGATTATTTATTCCATTTTAGAGTACAAAGTTAACCGGACCTCTCCATAAAGTATTATAAATGTATAGTTGGAGATATGATAATAGCTATGACCCATTTTACTATTTTTTTCTTTTATATTACCTATATTCCATATACATAAAAGTTGAATCTCTAATTTTAGGGCTACAAAACCAAATTTATATTTGTTATAAAAAATAATATAATTGAAGAAGAAGATTGCTTTGAGGCGTGAAGAATCAATTTTCTTACAAAGAAATTGCTCGTATACTTATTGGGAAAATACGGACAAGCAATTCCCTCTAGAATACAACAAAACCCTTGTATATAACTGTAGATTTATTCGTAGGCTACTTTCAGAGAATCCTTATACCTATAAAACATAAGAGATGACCTTTCATAACAACCATGTTCTTTAATGAACAAATAACTTTTCATAATAGTCATGTTCTTTCATGAACAAATTATATGTCTGTTCAATTTAAGACACCTCTTTCAATTAATTAATCGTCAGTATGTACACCTTCTCTTGTTTTTGTGTTGTACAGGTGAAAAGGATCCACGCATACTAAATGAAGAAGAACTTGTGGGATGCTTCATGAATCCTGTTGTGATTTATTACCCAGAGGGTCACAAAGTACCAAACCTAGGTAATTCATTAAAATTCCTAATTGCTGTTAAATATGTTTTTTTTAAGAGGCAGTTACTAGTAACAATTATATCTTTAGCATTCTTTGTAAATGATGCTAAAACCTATAGAGACATTAGATCTAATGACAATTAACTAATGTCGGTCTTTATTGATTTGTATATTTATTATCGTTAAAAATTGTTTTTGTGATGTCTCACATGACATATACAAGCTATCTCTCTAGCTATAATGCATCATAAATTTTCTCTCTTTCTATGTAAAGATTATAATTATTTTCTGTGTTTTTCTTTCAGATGCTGAAAGTATAGAAACTGTGATAGAATTCATCAACAAAGTGAAGAAAATCAAGATGCCATTGCAGGGAAACTCAAATTTGTAACAACAAAGTTAGCAAATGTAATTTGTGATTATATATTTAAATTTGAATCCATTTAATTTGAAGACAAGTTAATAAATTTGCCCAATAATCTTTAATTGGCTTTTACACTTTTGATGTAATAACTTAAAAAAACTATCTTTGCTGTGAAATTTTAATTTGGTATTATTATGTTGCATTACTATTTGGTATACTTATATGAACTATAATTTTTAGTACTATGCTTAGGTTCATGACTATTTTACAACCTACCCTGTCTTTTCCTATATAGTATTTTTTTCATGTGCTATCCCGCCCTATTTAAGTAATTATTGCCCTGTCCTTCCCTGTTAAGCATGTGCCCCTGTCTTTCTCCATCTCTCCCTATTGCTGTCTCCATTTTTGTTAAGAAAAATATTGGCTAGTATACATTTTCAATACAAGGAGATTTTTGTTGTACAAGTGTAGTTTAATTGATTATAGCAATTTATTTGCTATGTTTTTAGTATATAAGTGACTTTAATTTTGCATTTAAATATTATTTTATTGTTAATGTATAAAACTTAAAATTTATAGATTAATGACATTTTCCATTTCCTCTGAGCCATGGGAAAAAACTTTTTATGCAAAAAAAAAAAACGAAGAGGTTATTTATTGCCAATTTAGAGTTTAAGTAATCATGTTGTGCCATTTATTCAATCTTATTGGGAAAATTTCATATATGACAAACAAATTTAATGAAATAACGCTCTATAGGTATAGTTTACATAATTACATTCTATGAGTATAGTTTAGTTTGCTATGAAGTTTTAATTTTGTATAAAACGTTTTTTTTGTTTTAAATTTATACAATATTTTATTTTATTTTTTAAATAAATGGAAACATGAGTGCTAAATACGATAACAGTAAATTTACATAATCCCATGATTCAAGCTAAACGTCCAAAATCAAATATTTTCCCAAAAAGAGTTCTATAGCGATAGAAAGACCATACCAACTTGTTTCCTCATACGACTAAACCATCGGATTAATCACTATTTTTGTATATTCAACGCCAAGTAAGATTTCTTTGAAGGAAGCTTTGTGTTTTGAACTGTATGAAAGTATACAATTGATTTGTATATCATATAACTGAAATTTTGAATACATTTTTTTTTTGTTTTGTTGATTCTAATGGTTCATAAAATTTTCTATTTGCTTATACAAGATTAGATATATCGTATATTAACAATTCTATTTTTATTTTTTGGTTCAAAAATTGAATGACGGAATTTGCATATATGATTCGACAAAAAATGTGTGCTTTAATTTGATACAAATAAAAACCTTTGTAAATTTTACTGTATATACAGTTATACAATTTTGTATATTGTTTTATTCATAATATTGTATATATGTAAGTAATCATGTAAAATTCTTATACAATGTATATGTGTAATTAATTGTATAAAATTAGTATGTCAATTGTATGTATGAATCGTGCATAATTCGACAAAAAGGGTGTATTGTAATTTGTTAATTTTTGGTGTAATCTGTTTGTATATATAATTGTGTAACATTTGTATATTGTTTAATGTTCATACTATTGCGTCTCTCTCTCTCTCTCTCTCTATATATATATATATATATATATATATATTTGTATTTGTATAATTTTTCATATTCTGTATGTGTGACAGGAATTGTGTGAAATGAATTGTATATAAATGCATTGTATATAATTATTTATATCAATTTGCAAATTAGTAACTTCGTATATGTATTATATTTGTATATGAGCATATGTAAAGGCGTATAAAATGAGTTTCTTTTTTATTAATAACTAGTATACGTACCCGCGCTTTGCGCGGATATATTAATTTTTTGATTATTTTAATTTCAGAAAATATAAAATAGTTCAAATATTTTTACACGTTTGTCATGTATTATTTTTATGTTGTATTAATAAATTATTATTAAATAAATTTGATTTATAAATTAATTCTTTTAAAAATTAATATATTTAACTAATACATACTATTCATATTCATAATTGAATAACCCAACATATATGTTACATGTCTTATTTTCTTTAGCCTTTACTTTTTGAAGAAAAACATATCTATCTTTATTTTTTTTTAAAACTATCCATATTTATTTTTATAATTATTTAAGTTTGAAAAAAGAGATTTAATTTTTCATGTTTGTTATTTTTTTTTTCTATTGCATGTCTGTTATTTTGTGTTGGAGATAAATGGTTTATTGTGCACCTATGATTTAGGAGCATGTTTTTCGGATAACTTATTTGAAAAAAATTGTAGTAATTTTTAATATGGATAAATATTTTGATTATCTATTGGTTTGTTTTTTTTATAAGTAAATTTAGCAAGTGACAATTTACAAATACTCATCTAAACAAAATGACTACCCTGGACATAATGCCTCAACTTCCTCTTTTCATTGATCCTACACCAACTTCCTGACGTATGCTGCTAGCTTTGGTATTAGGCTTGCTCGAAAATAAGTCTCTTGTATGATCACCCGTAGTATAGCATCTACTGATCTTCCCTTCGATTGAAATATTCTCCGATTTCGCTCTTTGCCATACATATATAGTAAACAGTTGTTGTCATGGCAATTTTGTACACTTACTTGTTCCTTTACAATTTCTAATTGCCCATTCATGTATCTCCCTTTGCCACACCATATTCCCTTTCGGTATAGTTTTCCATCGTAGTACTTTCTTCCAAATGCTTCACATTCCACTGTTTCATTACAGATATTACACAATGCACACAGTGGCGTGGTGTTCGACCAATCCTGTCTCGTGTTGCCAATCTATCACAAATTGCTAGTTTGAATATGAACTTCCATTTGGGTACACCCTGATTGTTTAGGATCAACTTTTGGAAATTGGCCTTGGAATGTGAAAATTGTCCATTTGTTGAACGTCTGTCATATTGTATCCAGCTACCTCAAAATATTCCCTAGCTTTAAACACTTTTTTAATCATCCACGATGCATTCTTTGGACTTGTCTCCCATACACTTCTCCCTTTTATGTAATATGTGTGGACCACCCATATTATCCACATCTTCTCCTTCCTTTGACATAGTAGTTTACAGATTGTTGCTTGATTCCATAATTCAATGTTTAGTCCCCCTGTTGACAGAGTTTATCCCATGCTATTAATGTTTTCTTTGTCATTTCCGCATCGCCAGTCCACAAGAATCTCCTACAAATAGCCTCTATAACCTTGACTATCTTCTTTTGTATAATGAACACCTGCGCCAAAAATGTTTGAATGGAAAACAAAACGCTTTTGATCAGTTGTGTCCTTCCGGCATACGACAAAAATCTTCTAGTCCAAGATGTAATACGATTCAGCATCCTATCAATCAAAGGCTCACACTGGGTAACAGATAGTATTTTAGAACTTAGTGGGACTCCTAAGTATCTAAAAGGTAATTCCCCTTTAATGAATCCCAATTCCTCCAATATTTTCTCCTGTACACATTGTTTTACACCCCCCATGTATACTGCACTTTTGCTCTTGTTAGCATATATATAGTCCGGAAGCTAACGAGAACTGTTTAAACTTGGCATTCATAGCCCTTACTGATTGCACATCTCCGCCACAGAATAGTAGCAAATCATCCGCAAAACTTACTTGTGTCACGTTGAGCTTTGCACATCGTGGATGAAACTTGAATCCTTTCACACCTGTTAGGGATTGTAATGATCTACTAAGATACTCCATAACCATAACGAACAGAAAAGGGGAAAGAGGATCCCCCTGCCTCAGTCCTTTCTTAGCTTGAAATGGCTTTGTCACCACTCCATTAATCATTACTGTATAGCTCACTGATGTGATGCAACTCATTATCCATTTCAGGAAGATTTGAGGGAATCCAAGCTGTTGCATTACTTGCTCAATGTAGCTCCATTCAACTGAATCATAAAGTTTTTGCATATCCACTTTTATCATGCACCGTGGTGATATACCTTTTCTTCCATACACCTTCACTAGTTCATGACTCATTACTATATTATCCATAATCAACCTTCCTGGAACGAAAGCACTTTGGGAATTGTCTATGATGGCGTCCATTACTTCCTGCATCCTTGTGGTTAGAATCTTTGATATTACTTTATACAATATAGTGCAACAAGAAATGGGCCGAAATTCCTTAACAGACAAGGGATTCTTGATCTTTGGAATCAATGTGATCACTGTGCAGTTGATTGCTCTGTATATCTCAGTAGTTTCAAAAAATTGCAATACAGCATGTGTGACTTCCTCTCCAATCACTATCCACGACTTCTTAAAAAAATGGGCGTTGAAACCATCACACCCCGGGGCTTTATTATCATCTATTCCCATAAGAGCTTGTTTTACTTCATCCTTGCTAACTGGTCTGATCAGCAACCTTTGTTGTTCCCTACTTAGAACTTTTCCCCTTTTCATAACCTCCACATTCACAGCAGGTAATGTCCTCGCTGCTGTACCTAACAGACCTTTATAGAACTTTAAGATTTCCTCTTTGATAGCACTATCTGTTTGTAATAGTCATCCATCTTCTGTGATTAATCTCCTTATTTGGTTTTGTGCTTGTCTGTTTTTTAGGCATGCAAAGAAGTATGAGGTGTTAGAGTCTCCTATTCTCAACCACTGTACTCTGGATTTCTGTTGCATTATACTTTCCTCAACTAGGATCCACTTCTCTAATTCCTGTTTCAATTGTTCTCCACATGACATTGATTTTGGCCCCTTGTAGGATCACTGTGGGTGTTCTGGTAGTTTCTCAAAGCCACCCGAGCTGCAATGATTTTCTCTTCAATATTTCCAAATTCCTTCTTTGCCATGTTCTTCATTACTACCTTCATTTGCTTCAATTTGAGCCAAACCTCATACATAGTTTTTGCTGCGCTTCTTCTATTCCAGCTCTCCTCTACTTCTGTGATAAAAAATTTATGCTCTGCCATGTAGTTATAAAATCGAAAAGGCTTCGGACCCTTTCCATCATGTTCCTCCATTTTTACACTAAGTGGACAGTGATCTGAAAAGTGGGGTTCCAGGATTACACCCTTTATGTGTGGCCATTGTTGAACCCATTCAGCATTAACAATGATTCTGTCTATTTTGCTATGTGTGTGGTTGTTTATCCATGTGTACTGTCTACCCACGGTTTTCATTTCAGTCAGACTATTATCAAGCAGAAAGTTGTTAAAATCTCTAGTTTCAGAATCTGTCACTTGGTTGCCATTAAATCTATCATCACCTTTGCGTATGGCATTATAATCACCCATTAGCACTAGAGGTGCTGCAGCATTGTTGATCACTGGTTCTAAGTCACCCCATAAGGCCCTCCTATCTGCAATTGTGTGTAACCCATACACTGCTCCAAAGTAAAATTCAGTGTTTGATTTTATTCTAGTACAATACCCAAAGACAAATTGTTGGTGCACAACATCAACTCTAAAGTCGATGATAGAGTAGTCCCATAATAGCCAAATCCTTCCCCTCCGATCAGCATTGTAGTTCGCAGCCCATCTCCATCTATCCCCAAGCTTCTTTATGATTTTTGGTGCTCTCTCTTCTTTGACTTTGTTTTCTAGTACAGCAAATAGAATAACATTATTTTCTCTACAAAATGCCTTCATCTCCTTTTGCTTATACACTTGATTCATGCCTCTTACATTCCATGCTATTATGCTCATTAAAATTGAGTTTTGTGTTGCGCTACTTTTCCTCCACTTTGTTGACCATGTACCCCAATCTCCTGCATTATTTCCATATGAGTAACCTGTGTAACAGCTTGTGTAAGTGGTGTGAATGAATTAGATGTCTCCAGTCCCTTATCCATGTGCATACCCACTCTCGTCGCATCTTTACTTGCAGAGCTCTTCATTGTTTCCTGCCAACCGTCATTACTAGTGATCTCTGGCTCAATAAGTTGTGTTATTTCCCTTCCTTGCGCATCAATGTTGGGATTGGTTGGTGGGTCCAAAATTTGTTTCATCTTCCATTCCTTTCTAGGTGGTGCTGGGTTAACCTGCTCTTTTCTAGCTTGCTTCATACCTGTATCTCTCCATGTGCTGCAATTGTGCCCTACTTGACAACACTTTTGACAATAGACACGACGCCAGTCATACACTATCTTCTGATCAATAATTTTCCCCTTAGGATCCCCGATTTTGATAGCTTCCGGCAAAGGTTTTGCTGCATCCATTTCAACCAATATTCGTGCATATGATATCCTATCAATGTTCGTCGTGCAAGCATCCGCATATAGTGGAGTTCCGAGGCCACTTCCGATTTTACTTAGGGTTGAGACACTCCACCAATTTAGTGGTAGATCCGGTAGTTTTACCCAAATTGGAACAGCATTCAGTACTTCCTCTTTGAAATTAAACTCAGCAGACCATGGGTTAATAATGATTGGTCGATTGAAGATATTGTAAGGCCCTGCCAGCAATACCTAATCTCTATCACTCACACTATTGAATTTAATCACAAAGAAACCTTCATTGTGGTAGAACACCTTTGGTTTCATCACAAAATTCCACTGGCTTGCTACAAATCTTTCAATAGCTCCAATTGACAGTGTGTTGCCTACCACATAGAGCACAAATGCCTTTTGCCATTTCTCTTTTATAAGTACTTTTCCCTCTTGTATGATCGGTAGTATATAGCTTAGATTCATCCCCTTTGCTGTCATTTTGTTTTGGTCAAACAGTCCCACCCATGCTCGTCCATCCTCATTATGCTTTAATTCAGCTCTGTCCTTCTCCAGTCATCTCCTTCTCTGCTACTGACAGCACCTCTTTCACTGATGCTCCGTCATTATTCCATACTGGACTCGCTGCGTGAGTAGTAGATGTTGATAATTTTCCATTTTCTATTGGCAATACTGAAATTATTTCAAAATTTACTTTGAAATTTTTTTTTCATGATAAAAGTATCATCTTTAAATACATTAGGTGAAGAAGTTCTTAATCAGTTACCTTAATTTTAGGATTCCATCATAAAACTACCATACCAAATTTTAAAATTGTGCTTAATAATTAAAAAAAAATAACTGCAATAATAATTGGAGATAAATTAATTATTTTAATCATCATAGGTAGGGGTGTTCATGGTTTGGATAAAAACTGATCCAAACCGAAAAATCAAACCAAACTGATTAAATGAACCAATTTAATTTGGGTTTTGGTTTGGTTTGGTTTTAGATTGTTAAGAACCGATAGTATTTGGTTTGGTTATGATTTTGTTCGAAAAAAATCGAAGAAATAACCGAACCGAACCAACAAGTTTTATACATAAATTTTATTATTACACATACATAATATATTATATTCATAAACAATTTTAAAGATTTTATATATGTTTCATCAAAATTTATTTATAATTTACTTATGAAAGAAAAAATGTCCAAGGTGAGAACATTTTTCTTAATGGTCTCATGTATATGAGTGTCTATGGAAATTCTTTGTGAGACTGAAAATGTCATTGTCTCTTCCTTCTATGCCAAAATAGTGAATTTTGAAGTTTTTATTCAGTAAATTCAATGATCGAAAGTTCTGTAATGCCAATCTTTTTAACTATTTTTTTGTTTGAATGGATTGTTGTCACTTTTTCACGTTTTGAATGAATTGTTTCTTTTATTTTTATCAGAGGTGTATGTAGAGGGGGTGCCGTGGGTTCACGTGAACCCATGCTCCCCTCTCTAGATCATATATAGTAGTGTTATATTTTTTAAAAAATATTTAAATATAGATGTGTGAATCTATGTTCAAAGTATCATATAATAATACGATGATGATTAGGTGCACCTCTCTAACTGAGGATATAAATTTAAATCTTATATCTATCTTGTCTTTTTGAGTAACACCACTCCAAGTGGTTATCAATGACACTTTTGACGTTTCAACTAAAAAATTTTTTTGTATTTTTGCCTTTACTCTTTCAAAATTTTCAAGTGTCTTACATTGAAAATTCCTAGAAAATTAAGCACTGTAAATTTTTTATATAATTAAATCAATTGTGTATATTAAAATTTAAAACTAATAGTATTATATATTTTGAATCTATAGTTTTTAAAATTTAATGGTTCATATTTAGAACCTAAAAGTCAAATGATCAAATTTATATTTAAGATACGTTTCTTCGTAATCGTACACCCATCTAGCCGAAATCCTGGATACGTCTCTGATTTTTATGTATGGTTAATAACCGAATAATCGAACCAAACCGAATCAAAATCGAAAACAACCAAACCAATAAATATATATTATATTTGGTTTGGTTTGACTTTGATAATTTTAAAACCGATTAAGTTGATTTGGTTTTGATTTTGACCAATAACCGACTCAAACCAAACCGTGAACACCCCTAATCAATCACAGGAGACAAAAACCTGCCTTGTAGTTGCTATTCAAAAGGGGTAAAAAAAAATTCATGATTTACACTTTTCTAGTAACCATATTTAGTGAATTTGCAAATAAATAAATTTATTTTTATTCTTAACAAAATCTAATTTTCTATTTTATTAATTTTTTGTTAATCAGTTTTAAGAGTTCGTGTATAGGTGGAAATGTTGGAAAGTTGTAAAACCGACTATTTAAATTCTAATTGTAAATAAAAGTTTAATATTAGAAAAAAAAAACATGATAATATTTATTTAGTAATTCAGTTTTATATTCACATTTTATTTAAATATTTTTTAAAATTTTAAAGCGGATCATTTAAATTTTTATAATTTTTAATCGTTATGTTTATATAAATTTTTATATATTTTTTTAAATGGTTATATCACGATAAATTTAAGTAATTCTTTAATAAAACTTAATTTTTAAAATTTTAGTTTAGAATTTACTATGATTTCAAATTACAAATAATTAATTTTAATAAGGAAATTATTTTTCTATGATGCAATAAGATTTTAGGAATTCTATTTTGTGACTTTTGTCTTATAAACCATAAGTTATAAATCTATCCAAACATGCTCTAATAAAAAAAGATAGAATTATCAAAGATATCCCATCTATAAGACAAATAATAGTTTTATCGAACTTTATGGGAAAACGTAAATAACATATGTTTAAATATCATACTCTTCACAACAATACTACTTAAAGGCCATGAAATAAAAACTAAACTAAATAAACAAAGGCTTAAAAGACTGGATAATGCGTGATCCTTAAAACTAATTAGGCCAACTAATTAATTAGTCTAAATAGAAATGTTAAAATTTAAGATTATAATAAATATAAATATTATCCTTAAACGGTTATGATTAGTTTTAAAACTACATATATTTTGTTTCTAATTTTAAACTTATATTTTTAAAATTAATTAACCACTCTCAATTCAAAATTCAAAATTTAAAATTTAAAAATATTATGTAACTCTTTAAAAAAATATTTTTTATAATTTTTAAATAGTTTCTTACTTCCTTATTAGAAAGTATCAAAAAAACAAAATCAACACACTAATTATTCGACTAATTAAAACTAAAGCATCAAACCAACAAACTCAAAATATACTACTGATAACTTCAACAAAATATTGAGATCATTTCATGATTGTTTATATAATCAAATAAAAACATACGTTAAAATTTTGTATTAAATTTATGATCATGACTAATTTATCTTACGCTAAGATTAAAAATCTATATTAAAAAAATAGACATGAATTAATATGGTGAACAAACTTGTTAAATTCTAAAATAAAAATTATAAATACTTACCTAGTGTTGATTTTATACTCCAAGAATCTTCCCAATTTTAAACTGTCACACAAACGCACTAAAAAAATATCAAAATTTAACATTTAGATTGAACAATTTTAGCAAAAATATAGAAGAATGAATATACATATAAATAAGACAAAGATAAAAGAAGAACAAAAACTGATACAAAGAAAGTTGAAAGAATGGTTTGCCAACATCACTGTAGTATTAATATATATATATAAATCTTTGTTAATTGATTGCAGGTACCTCCTCCGCAGGATGGGTGATCCACGGGTTAGTCATGTTTACGGGGAACAAGAATGGAGAGTTGACAACTTATGACCCTGTAAACTGTTTTGTTATATGCTATTTACTCTTTTCTGACCCAAAAAAGAAAAAAGTTTTAATTCTATAACCGTTTTTTTTTAACTCATTTATTAGAGAGATTTGCAAACCGTGTGTTTGAATTATTTTGAAATTTAAAATTTATTTTTTAAGACTTTTTTTAAGAATTTAAACCGTTTATGTACTTATTAGAAATCTGCTAAACAAATTCAGTTTTTTTATTTCAATACTACTTTTTTTATAAAAAAAAAAAATCAGCATCCAAAAAAAAAAGCAAATTTAAAAGCTATTTAAAAAACCGCTTTATACGATATTAAAAAGCAATTTTTTATACGATATTAAAAATAAAATAGACTTTTTTTTGTGATGACATTGTCAGCGTTTTTATATAAAAATAGATGACATTTTGTCCGTGTTTGTATAAATGCATTTTTTTTTTTAAAAAGGTATAAATTAGTTTCTTTTTAAAATATTAAATATGTCCAAGCTATAAAAAAATTTTAAATTGAATTTTGAATTTTTTAACTGATTTGAAGTGGAGTTTTATAACCAATTGATCTTTATTTGACGTGTGTTTTTATTTCAAATTTTGAATTTAGAATATTTAATTAGTTATATAATATTTAATTATTTATAATTTAAAATTCTGAATTTTGTGGTGCTGACATGTGTTCTTTTTTCTTCTCCTATTATATATAGATAGATTATATACATAAACTTCAAACAATTTGTATATAACTAATAATATATACAAATACCAATATACAATTGTGATTTTGGCAGAAACTATACATAAACTTCAATAATCTTGTATATAACTAAACAAAATATACAAATAACTAATACAAAATGTGATTTGAACATGAAATATACAATATAAATATATATATATATATATACAAATATGATTTAAGCAGGAAATATACACATACTTTATGTAAATTTGTAAACAACTAACGAAATATACAAATATCTAGATACAATTGTGTTTTAAGCAAATATCCGATGTTCTTCAGATTTGTCCAAATCTGATAAAGTAGACACAATCTCCTTTGAATCACTGTCTTTGGTTTTTCTCTTACTTCCTCCTTCAACAATTTTAATGCCGCTTGCCTTGGCATTTTTGATGACTTTTTGAAATGCAATTGGTTTTTTTTTTTCTTGAATCTCAATTCTTCAATAGATTTTTCATCTCAAACTTGTATAGATTTTGCCATAGACTCTGCATTGACTCCAAAATCTTAAGTTGAACTGATTGAAAACGAAGGTGGATTGTCAACAACATGAACTTGGACATGCAATGGCGTACCTCTCGTAATCCTCTTAGATAAAGTCGAATCATTCATTTTATTTTTGAAAAACTGATAATTTGATAAGTAATGAGGGAATTTTTAGAAGAAATTATCAAAAAACTAATAAGCATAATACATATACAATTGTTGAAAAACTAAAAGAAAAAAAAAAAATTCACCCATGATTTTGATAGTTACCTGCAAAAAGTGAAAATATGATTGGAGGAGAAGGTGAAATTTGAATTTCAAATTGGAAGTGAAGAGTGATTTTAGGAGAAAAATAGGGAATGAGGATAGGAGAGATAAATTTGATTTTGTATAAAATCATATACCAAAACCGATGAA